TTCAAAACCCATCTGGACGCATTCCTGTGTGACCTGCTCTAGGTGATCCTGGTCTGGCAGGCGGGCTGGACTAGGTGATCTTTTGAGGTCCCTGCCAACCCCTAACATTCCGTGATTCTTGCAAGGTGTAATTCCAAGGAGGCCTTAGCTTTCCTAGTTGCCTGACAACAGTCTTATATTCCTCCCAAGTGGCCAGCCCCTACTTCCATGATCTGTAGACTCTCTTCTTCCACTTGAGTTTGCCCAGCAGTTCCCTGGTTAACCATGCGGGTCTCCTGACTCCCTTTCTTGATTTGCTACCGGATCTCGAGCTTGAAAGAAGTGGTCCTCGAATATTAACCGACTATCCACGGCCTCTTTACCTTCTAGCACCCTGTCCCGTGGGATTTCCCCCACCAATTTCTTGAAAAGGCCAGCTTGCTGAAACCCAGGATTGTGATGCTTCTTAGTATTTTTTCCTACTGCAGAAGATCCTGAACTCCACCATCCCATGGTCGCTGCAGCCAAGGCTGCCCTCAACCTTCACTGCTTCAACCAGACCTTCCTTGTTAGCGAGGATGGGATCCAGCAGCACTCTCCTAGTTGGCTCCTCCACCATTTGCATCAAGAAGTTCCCATCGGTGCCCTGGAGGAACCTCCTGGACTGAGGACGGCTGGCTGTGCCGGCCTTCCAGCAAAGAGCTGGGGAGCTGAAATCCCCCAGGAGAACCAGGGCCCGTGACTGAGATGCTGTTATCGGTTGCCTGTAGCAGGACACATCAACTTCTTTATCCTGATCAGGTGGTCTGTAAGAAACACCCACTACAGTATCACCCATGCCAGCCTGCCCCTTCATTCTCACTCACAAACTCTCAACTCACTCCTCCCTCTTTGCACGTAGTTTAAAGCTCTGTGAATGAGCCCTGCCAATTCTTGTCCTAGAACCCTTTTCACCCTGCAAGATAAGCCTTTCCCATGTATCACCGTTAGGCCTGGGATCATATAAAACCGGCCGTGACCAAAGAACCCAACGCCCTACCCGTAGCACCAGCTTCAGAGCCAGATATTTACAAACTGGATCCCTCTCTTCCATTCTGTGCCATCACCCGCAACTGGAAGGAGGGAAGAGAAAATAACTTGCGTCCCAGACTCTTTCACCAGCTGTCCCAAGGCTTTCAAGTCTCTCTTCATTCCTCTCAGTCTATGGGATGCAGCTTTGTCCCCATCTGTCTGGATGATCAGCAGTGGGTAATAATCTGACAACTGCACCAGGATGGGGATCTTCCTACTGATGTTCCTGATTCAGGCTCCAGTTAGACCACAGACTTGGCTATGACGCGAGTCAGCCCGGTATATTGCCCCTTTAGGGGCAAGTCTCCAACAATTACAACTCTTCTCTTCTTCCTCGTAGAAGAGGTTGTTCTATGGCTGGAAGGCCTACCTGACCACGGTAAGACCTCTGGTATAGGCTGCCTATCATCCACATTCTCGTTAGACTGGCTCTCCTCCAGCAGAGCCTCATATCTACGTCTCAGAGGCACCTGGGGAAGCAAGGTGAGCAAGGAGGACCCTCACCTTCTGCCATGGCCATGAACCTGCCTCCACTCACCCCTTTCATTTAGGCTTCTGTCTTCCACCTGACCAGGGCAGGATATAGGGGCCCCCTGATCCTGGGTGCCGTCTGGTGGGTGCTCCCATTCTCGTTGCAGGGAGGGTAGAGCATGGCTTCACCAGTCTATCTTCATTTCAGCCTCCTTAATGCTCCTAAACCTTCCTATTCCATCTTGCAGCTTTTCAACCTCATCTTGCAGCTGTGCCACTCAGCCAAGCAGATCATCTACCAGCCGTGCTCATAGTTGCCCCCTACTACCTGTGAGAGCCTGTGATCTGCACAACCACCTCCTTCCATGGGAGCTCTGCTCTGTCTGGGTTCCCACATCCACATTGGCTGGTGTCAGGAGCATGGTCTTCTTCTGCTGGGTGGAGACCGTTGCTCTTTGAGGGTTGCAGCTGTTGCGCTCTGTGCCAGATGAGCACCTTGACCTGGTGCCCCAAGGTGACACCCTGGGTGAATTCCACTCACTACTTCTTTGCTGCCTCAGGGCTTCTTTTAAGAGAGGAGAGTGTGGTCTTGATGAGACACGACTGGTGTGTTTAAGCCTTGTTTAGATCAGGCACTGGTGGTTCTGGCTCTGCCCACAACATGTGAGCAGCCCCTCCACAAGTTGCCGGCCCATGACACAGGTGAGCTGCTTTTCTGCCTTCAAAAAAGCTGGGTTTGGGTTGGAAGGGTCCTTAAAGATCATCTCATTCCAACTCCCACAAGACCAGGTTGCTCCAAGCTCTGTCCAAGCTGGCCTTGAACAGTGCCAAGGAAGGGAGCGTCCATTCTGTCACCTCTATGGGGTCTTTAAACAGAGACAATCACCTCCTCACGTCCTTAAAAGATTGTGCTGTCCCTCTGGCCCCTCTTTCCTAGTGCTCATTCCCGCTTGCCCAGCCTCTCACAGGCATCCTCCCTCTCCCCTCACACCACAAGCACACCTCCTG